TCATATATAAAAGAAACATTACTAAAGCATAAATCACACATTCATCCCTACACACTAATAGTGGAAGACCTCAACACCCCACTCTCACCCCTGGATAGGTATTAACAGACAGAAGCTTAACAGAGAAATAAGGGAACTAACAGATGTTATGACTCAAATGGACTTAACAGACATCTATAAAACATTCCATTCAAACATAAAACAGTATACCTTCTTCTTAACACTCTATGGAACCTTCTCAAAAATTGACCACATACTAGGTAACAAATCAAACCTCAACAGATTAAAAAAAAATTGGAATAACCCCATGTATCTTATCAGATCACATGGTTTAAAGTTAGAATTCAATACCAACATGAATTTCAGAAAGCCAATAAACATATGGAAATTGAACAATGCTCAACTGGACCATCAATGGATCAAGGAAGAAATAAAAAAGAAATTAAAGACTTCTTCCTAAAACTCAGTGAAAATGACCACATAACATACCAAAACCTATGGGGGCACAATCAAAGCAGTGTTAAAAGGAAAGTTCATAGCACCAAATGCTTACATCAAGAAAATGGAAAAATACCACACTAGCAAGTTAACAGAACACCTGAAATCTCTAGAACAAAAAGACGCAAACTCACCCAGGAGGACTAGAAAACAGGAAATAATCAAATTGAGAGCTGAAATCAACAAAATAGAAGCAAAGAAAATAATACAAAGAATCAGTGAGACAAAGAGTTGGTTCTTCGAGAAAATCAACAAAACAGACAAACCTTTATTCAAACTAACCAAAAAGCAGAAAGAAACTATTCAAATTAACAAAATCAGAAATGAAAAGGGGGCATAACAACAGACACGGAGGAAATCATCAGGTCATAATTCAAAAATCTATACTCCACAAAATTGGAAAATTTAAAGGAAATGGACAATTTTCTAGATAAATATCACTTATCAAAAATTAAATCAAGAAGAGATAAGCAAATTAAATAGACCTATAACTGCTAAAGAAATAGAAACAGTCATCAAAATCTCCCAACCAAAAAAAAAAAAAAGTTCATGACTAGATGGTTTCGGTACTGAATTCTGCAAGATTTTCAAAGAGGAATTAGTACCAATACTCCTCAATTTGTTCCATACAACAGAAACAAAGGAACATTGCCAAACCCTTTTTATGAGGCTACAATTACTCTGATACTGGCATAACGATATCAATATGTAGAAGAATGAAAATATATCCATATCTATCACCATACACAAAATCAAGTCCAAATGGGTCAAAGACCTCAACATAAAACCAACCACACTAAACGTCATAGAAGAGAAAGTGGGAAATATATTTGAATGCATTGGCTTAAGAGATCACTTCCTAAATATAACCCCAGTAGTACAGACACTAAGAGCAACAATTAATAAATGGGTCCTCTTGAAACGGAGAAGCTTCTGTAAAGCAAAGGACATGGTCAACAAGACAAAACAGCAGCCTGCAGATGGGAAAAGATCTTCAACAACCCCACATCAGACAGAGGGCTGATCTCCAAAATATACAAATAACTCAAGAAATTGGTCATCTAAAGAACAAATACTCCAAAAAATGGGGTACAGACCTAAACAGAGAACTCTCAACAGAGGAATCTAAAAATGGCTGAAAGACACTTAAGAAAATGTTCAACATCCTTAGGTCATCAGAGAAATGCAAATGAAAACAACTTTGAGATTCCATCTGACACCTGTTAGAATGACCAAGATGAAAAACACGGATGACAATTTATGCTGGAGAGGTTGTGGAAAAAGTGGAACACTATTGCTGGTGGGAGTGCAAACTGGTACAGCCACTCTGGAAATCACTATGGTGATTTCTCAGAAAATTAGGAAGGAACCTACATCAAAACCCAGCAATATTGCTGTTGGGTATGTACCCAAAGGATACTCAATCATACCACAATGAAATGTGCTCAGCTATGTTCATAGCAGCATTGTTTGTCATAGCCAGAACCTGGAAACAACCTAAATGCTCCTCAACCAAAGAATGGATAAAGAAAATGTGATACATTTACAAAATGGAGTAACAGAGGTAAAAAAAAATAATAATGACATTTTGAAATTTGCATGCAAATGATCTAGCTAAAACCATTTTGAGTGAGGTAACCCAGACCCAGAAAGACAAATATAATATGTACTCACTCATAAGTGCCTTCTAGACATAAAGCAAAGAAAAAAAAGCAACCTACACTCTACAACCCCAGACAACCTAGACAACAAAGAGGACCCTAAGACAGACATACATGGATCTGCATAGGAAGGAGAAAAAGACAAGATCTCTTGTTTAAATTTGGAGTGTGGGAGTCATGGGAGAGGGTAGAATGGGAGGGGAGCAGAGAAAAATGTATAGCTCAATAGAAATTAAAAAAAGAAGAAAATGATTTTTTTCTGGGTGTCTTTTCTTTTTAGCACATTTTATACTTTCAAACACAAAAGCTTTTATCTTGCCTCTTTTAGATAATTAACTAAAAATCATCATTGCCAACCACAATAATCAGATACTTTAAAGTTCCCATTCTTATCACATTAACCTGTTCTTATATAAGAAGTGTACAATATGGTATTAGTCGCTGGAAAACGTCTTAGGGTTTTAATTCTCCGGGGAAAGCTCTTACATAAAGGTAAAACGAACTGGTCCAGCTCCAGGAGCCATTTCTCAGGGTCTGACTTCTGTGACTTTTCCATTATAATTAAGTGTGAAGCTATCTTGAAGCAATCTTTAAATACAACTCGACGTGATGTGCCTGCCCCAGGCAAATGACATTTCAAATTGTGTTTCTTTTCACCCTCAAAGCAAGAAGGTCTGTTCCTTCTTGTAGTTAGAGTAATTTAAATGAAGTTAATTTACCGGGTCAGAATCTAAGTTGTGACTTCTCAGATTCTTTCATTTCCATTACAAATTAGGGGAGGCAAAGGCGCCTCTGAATAAAAGACTCTGAAGGAAGGCCAGAGTAAAACATTATTAATCTGAACTCTCTTGTTTTTTTTTTGATTTGCTGGTCGGGTAGGCAAGGGAATTAATGTTTCTGGCTGGGCTAAATAATCTGCAAAGGAAATCAGCGAGTGCCCATGAGGGAGATGGCTAGATTGGCCTTTCACATCAGTGCAGCACCTGAGAGCCAGCGCAGGAGCCCAGGCCACAGCCTGACAGCTTTCTGTGTGTCGCACAGGGACAGAAAAGTGGGGCCAGTGAGAGCTGGGCACTGTCTGCCCCATCCTTTCAGAGCCTGTTTCCCTGCTTTCCAATGAACTCTGCCTGTCTGTGTGTCTCTCCTGAGTTTAGAGATCACAAGGACCCCAGAAACAGTGAAGCCAGAGTAGCACCTCAATGACATCAGCTCTCATTATTTATTTTTAAACTGATACACAAGAACATATTTGTTTGTAAGATGCTATGTACATTTCAAGATACGTATGCATTGTATAAGTTTAAATCAGATGAGGTATCTAAAGAACTCTAGCAGGCCTGAGCAGGGCAAACGTGGTCTTGCCCCTCCTCCACTCCCTCTGCCTCTAGATTACATTAGATTACATTCCTAAAGCTAACCACCAAGCTCTGCTTCCTCCTACTGAGCTTGACTACCAAGGTCCAGCTGTCAAAGTATTGAAGTCCAGCAAACAAAAGCTGCCTTTTGGACACCCTAATTAACATGCGCAATCAAACACATACCAACTCATCCTAACACAGGTTTGCCCTTTTCCTTTTATAAGCAGCCATTTGCCTATAGGCCACTTCTGTCTCCTCTCTCTCCAAAGGCAGTCCTTTGTCTTTCTGGGGCAAACATTCCTTCCCTCTCCCTTGTTCCTTTCCCCTTCTCTATCACTGTCTCCTGTCTTTGTCTCTTATTCCCCGCACTTTGCTCCTCTGGGACAAATAAAATCTCCTTTGTGCTGGGAACATGGTCTTGATCTGTCCTGTACTGCTCTGGTCCTTTTGGTGTCTCTCTCTTCGAGTATTTATCTCTTTGTTGTTCCCAAGGTATCTTAGACACACCGAAACTTCACCTCCAAATTTCTGGTATGCGTTTAGACATCAAATTTCCAGCATAATACTGAAGTCAGAGTTTTGAAAAAGTCAATGTGTCTTCATTCTGCTATTGATGACTTGGCAACTGGGGTGGTTTGACTAGAAATGGTCCCCATAGACTCGTGTTTAGATCTTGGCTCTAGGCATTATTAGAAGGTGTGGCCTTGTTGGAGTCAACTCTGGAGGCGGACTTTGAGGTCTTATATGCTCAAGCTATGCCCACTGTGACACACAGTCTCCTGCTTCCTATTGATTCAGATGTAGAACTTTCAGCTACCATGTCTGCCTGCATGCTGCCATGCTTCTCACCATGATGATAATGGACTAAACCTCTGAAACTGTAAGCCAGGCCTGATTAAATGATACCGTGGTCATGATGTCTCATCACACCAATCGAAAACCTAACTAAGACAGTAGCTAATGGGCTTGGGTTGGAATACATCACCTCTTTGAGTTACACAGTGTTTCACATTCAGATATTCCTGTGTCTCAGAGTGCTTAGCCATCTCGGAAGGCTTTTAGGTCATCTATAACTAATGCTCTTCCTTTTACCACTCTATAGACTTCTTTTAACCTTGAGCTAATTTCATGTCTTTCACATAGCTAAATCCGTGTCTCCAGCCCACATTTCTCTCAATAAACTTCTACTACCCATGGCTCCTCCCTTCTCACCACCATAAAAGGTGTTCCTATACAGTATGCTCCTTAATGGTTTCCAAATCAGTACTCTCTACTCTAGCATCTTGTGGACCGACCTGAATAAGGCCCCTATGTCTTCTTTCTGGATTCTTCAGTTACACCTTTCATGATGCATTTTTTTTCTTTTGCATTTAAGGATGCAAAACCAGATTTACTTTTAAAATCACCATTAATTTTCTGTTCATTCTGTAGCACATAAACAGAGTCACCCAAAGTGTTTCACAGTGACATCTGAGCTAGGTGGATGAAGAGAAGTCAGGAAAGCACCAAACTATACAAAGATGATGTTTTCTCCACCGGGGGCTTAGATGAAGCAGAAATAAAGATCCAGGAGAACTTCCAAGGTCATGAACCAGGGTAAGACTTGAAAGAGGGATGGGTTATTGCAGAAAGAAAGGGGACCAGCAGAGGGGAACAGAGGTGTCAGGGAGGGTAGAGTACGAAGACCAGCAACCACAACATATGTCTGAAAATGGCACAGTGGAAGCCATTTCTCTGCGTAAAGATCATTCCCCAGGACTGGTTAAGTTCCTCTGAAGACAAGGCACATGGTACAGCTAGAGGGAAGATGGATGCGGTGACAGGTGAAAGACCTGGATAAATCCAGATCCTCCTAGCAGGAAAAAAATAGAGCCAAAAATCTAGCAGGAAGAGAAAAATCAGAAATCTAGGATTAGCCAGTTCAGGGTTTCAGGAACTAGCTGAAGATAAAGTTAGAGTGTAATCTTGAGAAACAGGGAGTTTCCCCCTAGTAATCATTATTGGTATTTTTGGAATACTGTGTTTCAGGAACTAGCTGATTATGACCTTGAGAGGCAGGGAGTTGCCCCTTGTGACCATCACTGGTATTTTCGGAATTTTCTGTGACACCCTTCCTGCCCCTTTCGGATTACTGGGCTGTGGTTTCTTCCCTTAAAAACCCCTTCTCCCAGCTTCTCGGGGTCGAACTCTTCCCCTGCGTGGATTATGAGTCTCGGCCCCAGTGCACTGGTTCCCGTCTTGTTGTCCTGTCATTAAACCTTGTGTGATTGCAGCAAGGACGGTCTCTCGTGAGTTACTGGGGGGTCGTGTTATCCCGAGAGGCTTGAGTGAGAGTTTCCCCACACTGGGGGTCTTTCAACAGAACACGTGTCATTTACAGTTGGCTCTCTATAGCTGTGTGTGATGGTGCTGGTATGGAGTCCAGAGGTTTGAGCACAAAAGCATGAATAAAGCCCCAAGATCTTTATCAGTGTTGGGGGTGGGGTAGGAGGACCAGTTACGACAGCAATGAGAAAGGCTAGACAACACTGCAGTAGCGTAGTTTAAGATTTAGATAACTGGGTTGTCTATTCATATACGTATTTAAAATAATCGATTTAGCAGTATATTTTTATATAAAATTGTATTTATTAAATCTCATTTTTGTTATCCATCTTGTTTACTGTAGGGCCCATGGGTCTACCCCTGCTCCTGGGGTTCATCTTGAGGACAGTTTCTGGTCAGCCAGCTAAAACTTCCTGTTTTTTCCTGTGCTCTCTCTGCCCCACCTGGTGATTAGCTGTAGGGCATTGTTTACTCCATCTTGGGTGTGGCATTTTCCCACCTGCTTGGGGGGAATTCCTTGTGCAGCAGCCAGGTTTATAAGGATTTCCCCAAGGTTGAATAAATGGCATTCGGCTGATCTCCTTTTGAATGACCCAGGTCTTCTTGTGTGTTCTTTCAGTCTCCAGGCCTTTGCCCGGCTCGCATGTGGTACAGTGGGGCGTGAACTGTACCGAGAGGGTAACACAGACTCGGGTGTTACAATTGGAGGCACCGCTGGGATAATCAGGAATTACAGTTTACATGTCAAATTATAACATAAAATGTAGAGATAAATTCTCTCTGACATGAATTCTTAGAGAAAATGAGGGTAATTTTTTTAAAAAAGAGTTTTTTTAAAAAACCTATTAGAAGTACTGCAAAATATCTTAGGTCTTCAGAGAATAATTTATTTTATTTGACTTTTTCTTGATCTCTGAATCAATACATATTTTAATGGTTTTAACTAATGAATACAGTCGGTATATTAAAAAGTCTTAGTAGAAGCGAATGTCAGATATATATGTATATACATATATACATGTATATATAAGTATACACACACACACACACACACACACACTGCGGCTGGCATTCCCCAGGGTTTTGGTCAACCCTAGCGATGTGAGCACTGAGGGCTTGCTGAAAAGCACAGCTTCCCCGGGGCTCCTACAGCCTGTGCTCCCTACACACACTAGTCTTGTCCAATTCCATGCTTCCTCAGTCTTCAAACTACTAAATTTTTCAAGTAATCAGTCCTGTTCCAAGGCTTGCTCTGAGAAGCTGACTTGTCCCGGCGTAATTGATATCGTAGGAGGCAAGTTGGGCAGCAGGATTGTGAATTTCATCTTCACTCCTGTGTGATTTCTTCCACATGCAACCCAGCCCTGCCGACTTGACTCCTTCCTGACACAACCACATTCCTAGTCAGCTGTGACTAACACTCGCTCATCCTCCTCCCTAAGGGCCACCCTCCTCCCCACCAAGTCTCTCTCACTGCATCCTGAATCAGGTCCAGGTGATCTTCACCTCTTGGGAGGCTCCTTGGGTAAATTCTGCTCCCCTACCCATAAAGATCCATGAATTGTATTCATCTCGCCTCTGTCCCCCTTCTCATACACAACACATAATGACAGGGCAGACGTAGGAGACTTCCACAGAGACCAGAGCTCTGAAACTCAGCCAGACACGTGTTGCCTTGCTGAGGAGCCTGACTTCCTGAAGCTTCCTCTACAGTTCCTGGCTCTGGCCCTGAAGCCATGGTCCAGTTTTTTTCATGCTGTCTGTTTGTAATTGAGGGAACTCAGAAGGCACCTGACTTTAGTGCATGTACAACACACACACACACACACACACACACACACACACACACACACACTACACAGTTGGCTCAATGCTCAATACATTTTTTTTAAATTTTTTATCTTGATTGTTTTATTTGAATTTTCCTTTTAATTCCTTGAGTATTTTAGGAAGTCAAACTTCAGGTCTATATTTTGAATCTTAACATCACAGAGACCATCTTTCTGTCTGTACACAGTCACCTTACTGGATCTTGCAAAATCTCCATCTTGTAGTTTGGTCAAGGCTGAATCATCTTCTCATCTTCTTCTCCCCACTTCTCTCTCTCTCTCTCTCTCTCTCTCTCTCTCTCTCTCTCTCTCTCTCTCTCTCCCTCTTCCTTCTCTTCTTTAGAATTCTGGAAGTAAGAACCCAGTAAACATTGGTGGCTGGCATTTAATGGTTTGTCTCTTCAGGCTTCTGTGCAGGTCTGGCCCCTGCTGAGATGACAACACATCCAGAATGGGTCTACCTCTCCTTCCTGTGCTTCGGATCAGGATGAGCATGCTCAGGAGCTTTCTTTCCGTTGGTGTTAAAGCATGTTTCACAGCAAGCCAGGAACCTGCTTCTGATTGGCCAACTCAAGTGATGTCATTTGCTCCCCCACCATTCCATCCTTTCTTTGCAGCTCTTGTTCTGATTTTTTGTTTTACTTTCAGTGCTGCTTTCTTCTACTTTCACATTAGCACACCAAGTTTGTTCATCCATCTTACTGAAAAATGCAGAGCTAGTTTTCAGCCATTTTCATCGTATACCTTGGAGCAGGACCTGGTGATGATTATTTTCTAAGGTCTTTGACCTATTGTGATCGTTCCAAAGAGTTACTATTTATCTTCCATAGAAAGGTCCTTCTGTCCCAACTGCCTTGCTTTTGCCTGGAATGCATGGTCTTCCTCTTAAAAATATTTTGCACCCTCCCTCTTGAGTTTCTCTCATAGTCACCCTTGGTTTTGTTTATCGTCTTTGGGACTTGGCCCTCACTGCTGAAATCATTCTTCACGTGCTGTTAGTAATACAATGTCCATCTTATGGCATACTTCTGTAATTTTCAATAGTGTTTATTGTGACTACAACTAATAGTTTTCAATAGGGAGTTATATTGATTCAAAGTTGTCATCTGTTGGGGGCACAAAAGTCACTGTGCCCACTGAGTCCTAGGGAAGCACAAATGTTAAACATGCCGGGGCCTGTCCTTAATGGAGGAGACAGAAATCCTGTTTTCCAGTCCAGAAGGCTGGCAGTAGATACTTTTATGACCCGGTGACCTTGCTCTATCTGTGTCAGCAGACCTCACCCACCTTTTGCTGTAGAGGCAGCCCTCACCCGAGGCCCCAGAATATTTATTACAGAACCTCCCTCCCTAGACCTTTACCTTTAGCTACAGAACCCACCTTCACAGTCACATACGCTTCGTAAAGCAGGTCCTAATTAGTCACAAGTTCAGCTTTATTGTGCGTCTGGAATCAGAATGATTGTTGCCTGGAAACTTTGCCCTGAACTGTACTGTGTTTTAAATATGCTGGCAATGAACAGCCCGGTAACAGACTCCGAGAGTCTGATCCAAGTTGACAAAGTCCATCTGAGCTGAGTTTTAATTCTCATCTCTTCAGTTATGCTTCCCTGCCTGGACAAGGTCCTCCTCAGTCATCACAAAATGACTTGAAGCAAGGCTGAAACGTGGGATGAATTTACCATAGGGACCGTCTTTTGACGTGCGTGGCTTGACTTTTAGGTGGGGTGACCACATGGTGATGTTCTGTGCACACAGCTTTGCACGTCAGCAAGCCTCTCTGCAGAGCGTAACTATCACACGGCGGGTTGTTCAAGAGTTACCCTTCTAAACCTCAGGTTAGGTGTGATTGTTAGGTGGCCTCTATTTCTGGAATTGGGCAGTTTGTTCCAGATGGAGCTTTTATGGCCAGGGTATTCCAGGAGATATTGCTGTGTCTAGAGACCAGGCAGTGACAAACGGATTGACTTTTCCATGCGCTTAACTAAGCTTGTAGTGTGACAGACTCTGGGCTTGGGGTCACAGCCCTGGGTATTAGGATGGGCTCTGCCACCTACCTGAAGGGTGACCTTAAGCAAATCCTTTTAGTCTAACCATACCTTGTTTGACAGAGTCCAGAGCTGGGTAATGGTTCAGGGTGAGAGCCTCATAATCTTGCCGCTCGAGAGATGAAGCTGTGCTTGCCTGGAGAGGAAGGCCACCGAGGGCTGCAAACCCCAGGCCTGTCCCCAATGACTAGCTCATAGTGCTGTTGTAAGATGTACCCAGATACAGTGAAAACTGTTTCCTGACTTCTAAAACACTGCTGGAATTAAGCATCCCCCTTGAGGCCAGCCTGAGCTTTAGACTGAGTTTTAGGCCAATCAGAGCCACAGAATGAGACCTTGTCTCGGTAAAACCAAATCTTTTTCAAGGGCTGAAGAATTGCTACATAAGCCTGGGACTTGAGTTTACCCCTAAGAAGGCCCCCACCCCCTGTGGAAAGAGAGTACTGATGCCAAGTCCTCTGAACGCCATGTGCGTTACAGCACACCTGTGCTACCCTACACACCACATGCATAGACATATTAACCACATGCACAAACATACTAACAATGAATGAAAGTCAAAGAAACTCTAGGGCCTGGATTCAGATAAGTAAGATCTTTTAAACTTTTCTAATTTCTAAGGAAATTAATAGCCACTTTTTTTGTATAAAAATTTCTACTTCAAAACTACAGGAAATTTTAAATAGAATATATTTAATTGCTTTTTTTTTCTCTGTTTGTTTGTAGACCCAAAAGAAAGGTTGGAAGCAAAGGAAAGACATTTTTTGTTATGTGTTCCTTTTCAGTCATCTGCTTAATCGGTTTTCAGTCTGATGTTCAGTCATTCTGCATCAGGGCTTTGGGCTTTGGAAAGGTTTTGTAACAACTTGGAGTTTGTTTTTTTTTTAATAGTGACTCAATCCCAGATTTCAGTGCTAGCTTTATTCACTCCTAACCTCCCTATACTCACATTCTTTTCTCTTACCGTGTCGCTGCAGTCATTCATCCAGTTAAAACCCAGTACTTGTGGTGCAGCTGCTATGTAAAGGTAATTATTGTCAATGCAAAAGCTAAAGGTTTTGTCGCTTTGCTGTTTTAACTCTATGGCGGTCCACCACCCAGCTCCCAAATAAATACATGGAGACCTATAATTACTTATGAACGCCCTGCCTTAGCTTGACTTGCTTCTAGCCAGCTTTTCTAACTTAAATTTATCCCATTTCTCTTTAACTACATTTTACCTCTGGGCTTCTTACTTTTCTTTATTTTATATCTCTCCCCATCTTATTCTGTGGTTGACTGTGTGACTGGGTGGCTAGCCCCTAGCATCCCTCTCCCCTTCTCCTTTTCTTGCTACTCCCTCTTCTGTTGAGCCTAGATTTCTCCTATTTATTCTCTCTGCTTGGTCCTCCCAATCCTCCTGCCTCGCTAGTAACCATTCAGCTTTTTATTAGACCAGGTGTTTTAGACAGGCAAAGTCTGCAGCTTTACAGAGTTAAACAAATGCAACATAAAAGAATGGAACACATCTTTGCCCAGTTAAAATAATATTCCATAACAAAAGGCATGAGCCACACTGTGATTTACTGGGTAACAAGCGGCACAGTCGCTACTCCCCGGGAGCGTGTTAGATGAGTGCTATCCCAGGAATTCTTCGTGCTGCGCTGCGAGGATACAGATAGGACTGTCATAATGAAACTGGATATGAGGAGGAGAGATGAAGAATTCTGAGGGATGGGCTCATTCAGGAGCCACTCCCAGGAAGGGAAAGACTTCATTGGAAGATGTGTGCTCTCACTGCCGGGGAGTTTTATTCAGGGAGTGTTTAGGAGGAGGCAGGTTCATGACCTGCTGTGGAGTAACCACCCCAACTTGAAGTAAATGCTGTACTCTTTTACTGTGCTCTATTGCTAGAAGCCATTCACAAAGGAAGGGACTAGACTCTAGAGTGCAAGGAATATGAAGGGATGTCAGTCGTGTTTTAAAATTCTCTCTTTGCCCTCTCCTGTGAAACCGGCATACCTGCCTCACCCTTCTTGTTCTCTACCACATCTCACCCTTTTATAGAAGTATTAAAGGGAGAATTGTTATCAAATAATCTCTGCTGGAGATCACAATGTAACAGAGCAGCTGGAGGAGAGATTACAATGTAACGGAGCATATGGAGAAGAGATTACAATGTAACAAAATTATACAGAGCAGAGATTACAATGTAACAAAATACATGGATAAGAGATTACAAGGTAACAGAGCACATGGAAGAGAGATCACAATGTAGCAAAGTATCTGGAGGCCCATCCAGCACGTCAGACTAATGACTTCGGAAATGCCCTTTGTTCCTAGCAGTCCAGCACACCATCAAGACAGTTTAATGCTGTGCTAACTGGTTTAAACTGTCAACTTGACACAAAATGGAATCATTTGGAAATGTGGTCTTAAAGGTATTGTCTAGATCAGGTTGGCTTGTAGGCTTATCTGTAAGAATTGTCATGTGAATTGTGACCTAAATGTGTGCAGCGCCTCTGGTAGTTGGGAGTATACTCTCCCATGTTCTGTGCCCCGCTACCCGCTGCTGGATAGGGAGACACACTGTCCATCCTGGTACAATCATGCTGTGCTCTGGAACCTTCTGCCACCCCACCTCTCAGCAACATTCTTCCTCCTCTCCATCTCTCCACTATGCTGACCAAGTTCTCTGTTCTGTCCTGTCTTCCAGGAGGAACTGTCCCCCTTTCCCCCATTCCTTCCTTAAACCCTAGACTCCACACTGATCAGAACGTAGACTGTGCTCTCCAGGGCAGAGAAGGTGTTTCCTCCACCTTTATGCGCTTGGCACCAACCACAGAGCCTGATGCATAGCTTTCCAGTACCAGTGGCTGAGACACGGGTCAGAAAGCCATGCGCGGTGACCACCCTACATATCCCTCCTGTCAGCACCCCTGCCTCTGCTCTTCTGGTTCTGCTTGGAACACTCACTTTGTGAACCGGTCACTTAATACCATTTGCACCATATTCTGCCTGTGTGTACTTTTTTTAAAGATTTATTTATTTATTATATATACAATGTTCTGCCTGCATGTGTCCCTGCAGGCCAGAAGCTGGCACTGGATCTTATTACATGTGGTTGTGAGCCACCATGTGGTTGCTGGGAATTGAACTCAGGACCTCTTGAAGAACAATCAGTGCTCTTAACCGCTGAGCCATCTCTCCAGCCCATCACCATGTACTTTTCACAAGAACATTGTACAGAAAGTATTCCTCTTCTTCCTACGATACAAGTCAGTGTTACCACATTGATTGGATAGCTTATTTATTAAGGTGTTATTTTTCTCATAGGTTCTTTCAGAGATAGTTTTCTTTTTTTAATGAATGGCCTAAAGTATCTGTAAGAAAAGAGAAATACGCAGTGGACCTCTAAATTCCTGACACTGTAATAAGGCAACTTGAGTTTCATTGCTGTGATAACTAACATCCCAAGATAGATCTGAAGTTCATCCAATCTGTGGTTTCATCAAAACAAATAACGCCGGCAAGACTCATGAAATGAATGACAAGCAGGTTTGATCAATACCATAGTATTTATTCTGTGTCTTAAGTCCAAGAGAACAATGTTGCAATATTGTTATTTTGAAGTGACTAAAATGACTTATGTATGATGACTGTCACAAGGAAGGTGATGTGTAGTGTTTGTACTAGTGTGTGCCAGACATTGTACTCACCAAATTACTCAATAAAGGTTTTTAAATTCTGTGTATGCATGTGTGTCTCTACATGGGTATGGCTACAGGAGTGCAGAACAGAGGCATCAGACCCCACCCCGGAACTGGTGTCACAGGCAGTTATGAGTACCCTGACGTGGGTACTGGGAACCAAACTTGGATCCTCTGCAAGAGCATGTTGAGCTCTTAACCCCTGAACCGCATCACTGATCCCCATCGCCTCATTTGGTACTTAGTATTCTGTTGTATTAGTTGGGGCTCCGCAGAGAATAGAGCTAATATATATGTATAAGCGCGCGCGCGCACACACACACACACACACATGCAAGTACATGTGCATACACAAATGCATGCATTATAGAGGCTAGTGAACTTGTGCTGCAGGTTCACAACCATCTCTTCTTTGTAGAAGAGGAAAAGAGAACCCAGATTCCCCAGTAAATATCACCTGTAAGTAACAGGTGACCGTCTCCAAGCTTGGTCTCCCTGACTCAGTTATTTTGTTTTCAATTCACAATCCTGGCCTTTTTTGTTTGCTTATTTGATCAGAATGAAATTTTAAACACAAATATCAAAGTATGTATAGAATATAGACTCATGGCATCTGATATTTTTAGTGGAATTAATTTGAAAAGTGTTTTTAGGAATGAGGAGATGGCTCAGCCAGTAGAATGCTTACCATACTAACATGAGGTCCCAAGTCAGGATTCCTAGTGCTTGTGTAAAATCTAGGTAGTGACACATGTCTGCAACCCCAGGGCTGGAAAACAGAGACCGGAAGACTCCTGGGGCTTGCTTATTGCAGAACTCCATGCCACACTCAGCGAAAGAACCTGCCTCAAAAGATAAGATGGGGAGTGATTGAGAAAGGCACCTGACTGAATTCTGGCCTCCACGCACCTGTGTACACATATGCATGTAACCTTCACGCATATGTACACCTGCACACAAACACATGCACATGCAAAGTAGGAGAAGACAATAAAATTGTTATTAGTTTATTAATATAAATATTTGTCTTATTACAATAGGTAATCAAGATGCATCAGGCTCTGTGGTTGGTGCCAAGTGCATAAAGGTGGAGGAAACGGAAACACCTTCTCTGCTCTGGAGAGCACAGTTCCGTTTCCACTGGCGGTGCTGGCCACCTCTCCATACAGGAATTAAGATCCCAGGACCTCGACAAACCAGGGCTTTATACCCCTCAAACCAATGGGAGAGCAACCTTTGGAAAGTCAAGCACAAAAAACCTGCATCTGAAAGAAAAGTCTCGATATTTGGTAAAAGAACTAGTGGGCATTCATCCAGGAATAGTCAACTTGGTATATTTTCCAGTTCTGAAAAAAAAATCAAGGATCGAAGACCACTTAATGATAAAGCGTTCATTCAGCAATGTATTCGACAGCTCTATGAGTTTCTTACAGAAAATGGTTATGTATATAGTGTATCCATGAAGTCTCTACAAACCCCATCAACTAAAGATTTCCTAAAGATCTTTGCCTTTCTTGATGGCTTCCTATGCCCCTCATATGAACTTCCTGACATGAAATTTGAAGAGGTTCCAAGAATTTTTAAAGACCTTGGGTATCCCTTTGCACGGTCCAAGAGCTCCATGTATGCAGTGGGAACCCCTCATACCTGGCTTCACATCGTGGCAGCCTTGGTATGGCTGAAAGACTTCATCAAGATTCATCATACCTTGAAAGAAAGCGCACCTCTACTTGATGATGGGCAGCCTTGGGGAGAAGTAAAGAAGGAATCATATATAATAAGTTGTTTCTGGACTGCACCATCAAATGCTATGAGAGTTTCATGACCGATGCTGACAGCTTTGAAGAGATGAATGCAGAGCTGCAGTCGAGGCTGAAGGATTTATATGAGGTGGATGCGTCCAAGCTGGAGTCATTAGCAGCAGAAAACAAAGCACTCAATGAACAGATTGCAAAATTGGAGCAAGAAAGAGAAGAACCGAATCATCTAGTATCATGGAAGAAACTGAAAACTTCCTTGCAAGCAGATGTTCAAAAGTATAAAACATACATGAGCAGTTTGGAGTCACTTTTGTCCGTCCTAGACCAGAAACTGAGTGGTCTTGATGAAGAAATTGGTAGACTACAATCAGAATGTGAAGCAATGAGACAGGAGAACGCTCGGCTACAGAACATTGTTGATAACCAAAAGTACTCAGTTGCAGACATTGAGAGAATCATGAAAAAAATGAGTTGCATTTGGCAACAGCTTCAGGATTAAACTTAATTTCAAAGTCATAACCTTTGGAATTCTCAGCACCTTTGGGAATCTCATTTCTCTCGATACAGGGTCATCTCAGTCTGCTCAGCCTTTTTTGTAATTGGCTGTGGTATGATGGCGGGTACCCGAACCAACAAGGCAGCCCTGGCATGGTCATACCAGGCCACAGTTCCTGAAAGAACAACGAAGAATATCTTTTCCTCCGAAGGTGCTATTCCATACTACAAAAAGGAAAAGAAAAAAGAAAACTAAAACAAACACGGGATCTAATAGTGCCTGGGCTCTCAGAGAAATATTCCATAAAAGAAAGATAGGAACTACACTCATATGTATAGGATTCCTTTAAAGTAATATTCATAGCCCAAAAATGTAACAAAGCATAAAGCATTCACAAAGGAAAAAGTTTGATTAATAGAAGCCTGTTCTATCGCCATATATGGCTTAAAGCAGTTCCAGCTGTATAGTTTGAGGAGTAGAAAGATGAATACAAAGAACTAGCTTGGCTCACTGGTCAGTACAAGGGGGTTCCTTACCGGGCTTCACACAGTGCTTTCCGCTTGATTGGGACTCACCAGGAGGCTCATCAAGAGAATGACAGGTGTCATTCTCAGGCTCATCACAGGATCCTTTCTTTCTCATCATTTTCCACAGCCTGAACACATTGCTCTGGTACCCAAATGGGCTTGTCCGTTCCTGGAGGAAAAACAAACAATTCCTCTCACCCTAGCAAACAGGCTAGCCATCTATAGCTTTCATCACCAAGGTGGCTTTCCGGGGGGACACCTTTATAGTTTGTGTTGTTAAGACTGCCCCCATCTCTAAGAGATCACATCCCCGTAGATTGACAGGCAGGCTGGGAAGAACAAATGGCTGGAAAAAACCCTCACGTCCTTCTTCATCATGCCATTTCAATATTTTTGAACTTTTTTGGAGTTGTTTGACCTATTCCCTGCAGCCACACAGTACCTTTTTCCAAGGGCCATGCCTTTGGCCAATATTTTAAGGACAAAACTGATACATCTGCCCCAGAATCTAATCTACCATCAAAGCCCTTTCCCTCTATAGTTATTCTAAGTTGGGGCCATTCACTTAACTGTGCAACCCAGAAAGCAGCCATTCCAGGGGATCCAAACCCTTGCTTGCCACGGGCTCGTTTATTATTGGTAACCTTGTTGGGAATCAACACTAATTGTGCTATCTGCTCCCCTTGAGGAATTACCACCACCCCCTGTTGGACAGATGTCATAATCTTAATCTCCTCTTTATAGTCTGCATCTACTATCCCAGGATGTATTTGGATCCCCTTTAAAAGGGTACTGCTTCTGCCTAATATAAGTCCCATGGTACCCGGTGGTAAGGGCCCATATGCTCCTGTAGGGAGTGCTTGCACTCCCATTTGTGGAGTTAAGACTGCTCCAGCTGAGGCACAGAGGTCCAATCCTGCATTCCCTAGCGTGGCTCCGACAAGGTCTGCAATGCAAAAGGATTTCTCTGCGAAGGAACTGGACACGGCCTCTGTGGTCCCATGGTCATTGCTCCACACACTGAGGTTTTGAGGCCCTGGAGCAGGGCCCTCTGTCAGTTTCCCTGCTGTTGATTAATGGTACGTGGCAGAGGTTTCCCATCTATATCTGTTTTAGAGAAGCAATCTTTAGCCCAATGTGCTCCCCTTCTGCATCTAGGGCACATGCCAGGTTTCCTCCTTCCCTTCATTATCAGCTGTGGGCATTCCTTTCGAAAATGACCAGGAGTTCCGCAGTTAAAACAGTTACGGCCTCCGGCCCTCTCTCCCAGTCCTCTTATGTTTCTCCGAGGTTGAATAGCTGCCGCTATAACCTAGCCTTGAATGAAATTCCCATCTATATCTCTGCATATCCTGATACATTCATCTAAACTCCTTGTTTTGTGATGGTGTAAAGCTTCCTTACAATATTTATTGGCATTTTCAAATACAAGTTGCTTTATTATAGACATGGCTGTTGTCTCATCTTCAAACAATCTATCTGCTAATTGTAACAGTCTATCTACATAATCTTGGAATGGTTCAGATGGTCCTTGTAAAACTTTTGATAATTGATCCCCAGCTGCTTTGTTAGGTAGGGCCTTCCAAGCTTTAGTGGCAGCTGCAGCTATTTGGGCGAATACTCCTGAATCGTATAGAATTTGTTTCTGCAAATCAACGTAAGTCCCAGCCCCAGTTAACATATCTAAATTACATTGAGCTTGACCCGCTAGAGCATTTCACTGGACCGTTTGCTTACAATTTTCCTGATATTCCCCTCGCCATAGGAGATAATCTCCCCCAGACATAATTGCTGCCAATCACTTGGTGTTAAATTCAGAGCAGAGAAAGATTCTACCATGGCCAATGTGAAGGGTGCTTGAGTCCCATATGCAGCTACAGCTTCCTTTAATTGCTTCATTTCTTTAAATTGTATTGCAAAATGTTGGCAAATTATTTGCTATGGGTTGTTAGTGTCTGGCACCTCCATCACCAGTGCAACCATTTGTACAGGACAGAAACAAACTCCTTTGTTTCGTTCAGTGTTAAAGCCCTTACTTAACTGAGACCACCAACCTTCATCATCATAAACCGGTGGGGCCGAGGGAGTTGGTTGTGAATCTTTTTTTAGTTTACGTTTTCTCAGTTTTCTATAGAGATTTTTTATTTCCCTACGTATGATTTCCTCCTCTTCTTCTGATGAATCCCCACTATCTTCTACAATCTCGAAATCATCAAACTCCTCCCTAGCGACTGACTCTTTTCTGAACAAAGAAGAAAAGATACTGCCAACAGCTCCCATCTTAACTCCTCAATATGTCACCGTTGGCCGGGAACGACCCTGTTTGCTTACCTCTTTATCTCGGCCGAAATTGCCTTGCCTGCACAGCCTGGAACCGAAACCCGAGCGAAGGACTTCAGGATTAACACATACCCCAATCCACCCTCACCTTTGGAGGGCGGCCTCTCAGCGTTCCCTAGTTCCCGATATCTCGGAGGGACCTCCAATTGTCGCGCGCCCTGTCCCCCCCGCCCTGTCACCCCTCTGCTCTCTCCGCGCTAAAACCCAGTTCGCAGCTTCGGGCAAGGAGCTGGAGGTTGAGAATACTCACGCAGAGACAGACCGACACACAAACCTTCCACCGCTGGTACCAAAAAGCTCCCCTTTAATAGCACCTTGGAGGCTTAAATAGCCTGCAGTCAATGGCCAACAGGTGAAAATTCCATCCTCTGATCCTCTAGGCAAAACACAGCTTTTAGTAACTTCCAATAGAAGTTTCCAGATAGGGAAGAGCAGCAGAAGGCCAGGACTCAATTAGTTCCAACATTTCTGCATTAAGATTTGGCTACAAGCCTATGGGGCCAGGGAGTGGAATGTGGTGGTCTGAATAAAAATGCTCCCCCCAGGCTTGTTGGAGTAGGTGTGGCTTTGTTGGAGAAAATGAATCAACAGTCGGGCAGAGGGTGAGGTTTCAAATGTCAAGCCAGGTCTAATGTGACTTTTACTTCTTGCTGCCTGCTGATCCAGATGTGGAACTCTCAGCTACTTCTTCAGCATTGTGTCTGCCCATACACTGCCATGCTTCTTGTCATGATGATAAGGGTCTAAACCTCTGAAACTGTAAGCCATTTCCAATTAAATGTTTTCCTTTATATGAGTTGTCAGGTCACAGTCTCTTCACAGCAATAAAACCCTAATTAAGACAAGCAACTTAGAGAGCAAAGGGCTTATCTTCACTCTCAGACCATCCTCCAGCCCTGAGGGAAGCCAGGGCAGGAACTCAGGCGGAAATCTGGAGTGGGGAACTGGGTAGTAAGATTGTTCTTAACTGCCTTGCTCCTCAAGGCTTGCTCAGCATTGAGGTTTGTTTGGTGTTGGCAAAGAAATCAAACAAGGCCGTTTCCCTTTCCTATAGTGATCTGGTTTTATAAAAGAAAGCAGCTACACCTTACCTCCTGAGGATACTCCCCACTTGGTTTATAAAGTTCCACTTGGCTCTGCTCTCCTACAGCACCCAGGGACAGCTGCCCAGGGGTGGCACCGCTCCCAGGGAGCTGGACCCTCCCACATCAATCATCCATCATGAAAATGTGTCACAAGCTTGCCCACACTCTGGGCAATTTTCTCAACAGAAGTTCCCTCTTTCAAAATGATTAGCTGTTGTCAAGTTGACATAAAAAATCTATCCAGGACACCTCCCAAAGGTCATCCAGTGTAACCATTCAGTGGAGCCAGCCCAAGAAGTAAGCACACACGCTACTGGCCAAACTGAAGGATGGGACTACAGGAGTCAACTGGAGGTGTCAAACTTTAGGGTTTTGTGCTTGCCCTGGTGGCCTTTTCTATTGATCTAGCACAATCTTTCCTGGTAATCCTCCACTTTCTCCCACTGGCAAACTGAATCGTTCCTTAATGTCATCCCATCCTAGAAGTTCATTGTTTTTGTTGTGGCTTTGATTTGACTTTTGCATTTAGCTCACAGAAGGGGTTTGTCCTGAGTCTCAGAAGAGACTTTGGACCTTTAGCAAGACTGGACCTCCAAAGCTGTGGTGACTTTCAGTGTTGACCTAACTGTTGCAGTGATGAGGTCACCGTGAGCCCTGGGGACTAGGTGTGGACTGTAAAGGTTTGAATGTGAAATCCCCTTACAGGCTCATGTGTCCAGCCATGTGGTGGTGCTATCTGGGGATGTTGCAGAACCTTCAGGAGACAGGGCCCAGCTGGAGGAAGTGAGCCCACTGTGGGGATGAAGGGGTGGTGAGGTTTATGTGTTCAAGGCGCCTCTTCTTCCACCCTTGCTCTCTGCTTCTAACTGTCTGTGGGATGGAACCAGCCACCGACTTTCCCGCTACCACAGCCTGGGACAGTTCCTGCAGCCACGTCCTTCCCACAGGATGAGTAAATAGGCTGATTGATTAATTAATTAAATGTATCGAAACGGGTCAGAAACTTAGATCTCTTGCAAAGTTTAACACTTTTGTATAAACTCCCCAAAGAGCATGAAGGGGTGGTGAGATGGCTCAGTAGGAAAAGGCACCACTGAGCCTGACAACCTGAATTAGAGAGAGAGAGAGAGAGGAGAGAGAGCTCTGGTGTAGTTTTCTTATATGAGCTCTGTCTGTACCTAACCAGGCCCTGCTTTTATGGCTTATCTCATCTTACATAGTTTTATTTTCATTTATTTATTTATATGTGACAGAGCTTTGGCTTTCTTGGAACTCGCTCTGTAGACCAGGCTG